CATGTGTGTGCTACCACGCTGGGCTAATTTTTGTATTTTTAGTAGAGACGGGGTTTCGTCATGTTGGCCAGGCTCGTCTCAAACTCCTTACCTTGTGATCCACCCGCCTGGGCCTCCCAAAGTGCTGGCATTACAGGCATGAGCCAGCGTGCCCAGCTGGTACGATCTTATGATGAAATATTGTTCATTGATAAGAGAAATCAGGTATCAAGCCATGAAGACACAGAAGAACCTTAAAAGTATATGGCTCAGTAAAGGAAGCCAATCTGAGAAGGCTATATCCTGAATAACTCCAAGTGTATTACATTCAGGAAAACATAAAACCTTAAGACAGCAAAAGTATCTTTGGATGTCAAGAAATTGTGGGAGGCCCAAGTGGGAGAACTGCTTGAGCCCAGGAGTTCCAGACCAGCCTGGGCATTATGGCGAAACCCCACCTCTACAGAAGATACCAAAATTAGATGGGGATGGTGGTGCACGCATGTAGTCCCAGCTACTCAGAGGAGGCAGGAGTGTCACTTGAGCCCAGGAGGTGGAGGTTGCAGTGAGCCATGATCATACCACTGCACTCCAACCTGGACAATGGAGTGGGACCCTGTCTCAAAAAAAAAAAAAGTTAAACATGGGAGACTGAGGTGGGAGGATGGCTTGAGGCCAGGAGTTCCAGACCAGCTTGGGCAACAGAGTGAGACACTGTATCAAAAAAAAAAAAAAAAAAAAAAAATGGCTAGGCGCAGTGGTTCACACCTGTAATCCCAGCACTTTGGGAGGCCGAAGTGGGGAGATCGCCTAGGTTGGGAATTCAAGACCAGCCTGACCAACATGGAAAAACCCCATCTCTACTAAAAATACAAAATTAGTTGGGTGTGGTGGCGCATGCCTGTAATCCCAGCTACTCGGAGGCCGAGGCAGAAGAATTGCTTGAACCTGGGAAGCAGAGGTTGTGGTGAGTCAAGATTGTGCCACTGCACTCCAGCCTGTGCAACAAGAGCAAAACTCTGTCTCAAAAAAAAAAAAAAAAAAAGTTAAACATATTCCCCAGCTTGGACCCAGACTCTCCTAGCTTGAAAAATGTAATCTCGGTCCGGCGTGGTAGTTCACACCTGTAATCCCAGCACTTTGGGAGGCCAAGGCAGGCAGATCACCTGAGGTCAGGAGTTTGAGACAAGCCTGGTCAACATGGTGAAACCCTGTCTCTACTAAAAATACAAAATAAATTGGCCGGGTGTGGTGGCACATGCCTGTAATCCCAGCTACTTGGGAGGCTGAGGCAGGAGAATTGCTTGAACCAGGAGGCGGAGGTTGCAGTGAGCCGACATCGTGCCACTGCACTCCAGCCTGGGCAACAGAGTGAGACTTGGTCTCAAAAAAAATAAAAATAAAGAAAAATGTAACCCCTAGAGTGCGTCAGTACCTGGTAATGGAGAATAGGAGCACCTGATCAGCAAGGAACTATGGGAGCTCCACACCTCTTTCTCTCCTATGGCAGCAAAAAAACATCAGATTCCCCAGGTTTCCACTTTCCCAAGTGAGGAAACTCTCAACCAGATTGAGATTAAGGTTCTGATGCAAATGAGCTCCTTGATTCATTAACCCTGTCTCTAGAAACATAAGTCCTGACCTTCACAGACACTGTCAATATGCACCAATTACCCTCAGTACACCTACAATACAGATGTGAAACTCAAACGTAATGTCTAAAAACACACCCAAGGAAACCACAGTTAAAACCTCAGACATCCTTCCCTCTTCCCCTAACAGCATCTGCCTGTGGATCCTCAACTTCCAAGTGCTCTGCAGTTTCTCTCAGTACAAAGGGATCCTTCCATGGTGGGCATGAGTAGCTGGCAGACCTGTAGGGGAGACTCCCCAGGAAGAACCAATTGGGCCTTCAGTGATCTTTCTTTGCAGGCTCAAGGGTGGACTTAGCTTGGAAACACTTATCTTAGGCCTCTGGTCCCCAGTTGCAAGGCTCTGGAACACTACTAGTAATTTTAAATGAGATGATTTAATTAAAATCTTAAGGATTGTTCCTTAAACATCCAGCAGAGGGCCTGGCATGATGGTTCACGCCTGTAATCCCAGCACTTTGGGAGGCCGAGGCGGGTGGATCACCTGAGGTCAGGAGTTTGAGACCAGACTAGCCAACATGGTGAAACCCCGTCTCTACTAAAAATACAAAAAAATTAGCTGGGCATGGTGGCACGTGCCTGTAATCCCAGCTACTCAGGAGGCTAAGGCAGGAGAATCGCTGTCAATATGTACCAATTACACTCAGTGCACCTACATTACAGATGTGAAACTCAAATGTAATGTCTAAAAACACACCCAAGGAAACCACAATTAAAACCTCTGACATCCTCCCCTCTTCCCCTAACAGCATCTGCCTGTGGATCCTCAGCTTCCAAGTACAGAGGTTGCAGTAAGCCAAAATTGTGCCACTGCACTCCAGCCTGGGCAACAGAGTGAGACTTGGGCTTAAAAAAAAAAAAAATCCAGCAAAATTACTTAAACACAGTGTTTATGTATAAAGGAAGCAAGAGGCCAGGCGTGGTGGCTCACACCTGTAATCCCAGCACTTTGGGAGGCCGAGGCGGGTGGATCATGAGGTTAGGAGATTGAGACCATCCTGAGTAACACAGTGAAACACCATCTCTACTAAAAAAAAAAAAAAAAAAAAAAAAAAAAATTAGCTGGGCATGGTAGCGCATGCCTGTAATTCCAGCTACTCGGGAGGCTGAGGCAGGAGAATCACTTGAACATGGTAGGCGGAGGTTGCAGTGAACTGAGATCGTGTCACTGCACTCCAGCCTGGTGACAAAGCTAAACTCTGTCTCTAAATAAATAAATAAATAAAGGAACGAAGGAAGGAAGAAAATTTTAGGGCATTTAACAAGAAAACCCACTATTGCTTTCAGAAAATGAGAATGTCGGGCAGGGCATAGTGGCTCATGCCTGGAATCCTAGCACTCTGGGATGCTGAGGCTGGAGAATCGCTTGAGCCCAGGAGTTCAAGACCAGCCTGAGCAACAGCCAGACCCCATCTGTTAAAAAAGAAAGAAAGAAAGAAAATGATAATGTCAGTCAATTATTTCCATGGCAAGAAATAGTTTACTAAAGTATTACTCATATCTGAATGCTTCTAGGCGTTGCAAGTTTAAGTCCTGGAATACCATCTGAAATTATCAAACTAAAAGAACAGACCTCAGAAACATATTCCATGTGCTCAGGGGAAGAACAAAGAATTTTTAATAAATGTAATACTGAGATTTTTTTGTTTCCTGAGATTCATTCACTTTTTGCCTCTTTGGAAATATTTCGTACTGTCTCTCAAGTTCTTCTGATAACATATATTTTATATTTATTGGAAAAATGACATTCAAATGAATACATCTTTTCAAGGTCATAAACCCAAGGCAGGACAGTGCCAATCTGACACTGTGCTGAAAACATAGATCATCCACGAAAGTTTACGAAAAGGAACCTCAACCCAAAGGAGTTCCCATAGGATGTCTGTGCCCTGGAAAGATACCAGAATGAGGGGCACAGCATTTTATGCAGAGTAGTTCCAAGTGAATAATTTTTCTGATTTTTTTTCTCTGATGTAAAATATCCACAAACAAGAAATCTTTTAAAAGAGGCATCAATTGGAAAAAAGATTATCAAAATACTGCGTGTGTTTGAAATGCACCACACAGGACAAAGAGTTGGTGACGATGTTTTCCATTGGAGAGGAGAAGTAGGCGTTTGGGAATACGGGGAGGGATCTGGAAATCTAGGGATTAATGGCCCGCCGTGGGAGGAGCTAGGCTGGGGGACAGGGTAGTGGATTTGAGACTCTGCTTCCAACATCTTTGGAAGACTCAGGGGGAAACCACCTTTGGAAATAAAGAAGGGACTGCGGACCCTACAGACTGCAGCTCCTCCCACTCAAACCAAACACACAAGGCGGGATTCTCCCCATGACCCTTCCGTGGTCCCTGCACAATCTGGGAAAGACTTGGGGCTGCGGGCGCGGAGCTGCCCAGAGAGGGCTCCGGGGCTGGGACCGCAGTCGCTGCGCAGGGACGGGACCGGACTCTTGGCGTCCCAGCTGCCGGCCCAGCCCCACACTGCGGCCAGAGGTGACTGAGGGGAGGCCCGGGTCCCGCGACCACGGCCGGTTCCAACTAGGCCGGCCCTGCACACTCACCATTTTCCGGCCTCGGGGGTGTCCCGGTGTTGTCCCTACGGTTCACGGAGCCAGCGCACGGTACAGCGCATCCGATGCAGGGGCACAGCAACCTGACGCGTCAAGGTGCCAGGAGACCCCAAGCTGAGCACAACCCGATCGCATAGTGACGTAATACGCATTTGCGAGGGGCAGTCGTACCCCTCTTTCCGGCGGCGCCCCTGATTGGACAATTAATACAGTCCCGCCCCCTTTTGTCCGAATGACAGCTAGGCGGCTGGTCTAGTAGCTAGGCAGATCTCGCTTCCGCCGGTGGGACGGAACTGGTGCCCTCCGTGGACAATTGTGTTGAAGCAGAAATTGTTCCGGATCTCGGGTCGGACACGGAAGTCTTCCTGCAGTGTTTCTGGATGCGGGGACAGGGATGCGCAGGAATTCCAGTCTCAGTTTCCAGATGGAGCGACCCCTCGAGGAGCAAGTCCAGAGCAAGTGGTCGTCTAGTCAAGGCCGCACAGGAACAGGAGGGTCTGATGTCCTCCAGGTACCAGGGGCTTGGCATAATGTTGTAAGGCCTCTCGTGGAATAGTGACCCTTGTTTATAAACAGACGGTTACTCCATCATGTGTAAGAAAAAGTGTGGGTGCATTTTAATCTTTGACTATAACAGCGTTGAGGCGTCCACCTTTCTTTTCCCCACCTCCACACATTTGGCACTTTAGAAAAGGAACCCCAAACCAGGGCTTGGTGGCGCACACCTGTAGTCCCAGCTACTGCGTGGTGGGGGTGGTGGGGGAAGTTGGGGGGTGGGTGGGCTGAGGCGGGTGGATCATGTGTCTTCAGGAGTTTGAGTTCAGTCTGGGCAACATGGCCAGAACCCATCCCAAGAAAAAAGGAAAGAAAGAAAAAAGAATCCGTAGGACACCCGAGCACTTGGCTCTGGTGGTAAATTGCAACCCTAACCTGGGCACAGGGACTCTTTTCAGACCAATCACGATCTATGAGACGTGTTCAGTAAACTGCATTTTACTGTGGAAGGAAATGGTTTCTTTTTGTTGTTTGTTTGTTTTTAGTTTAGGCATGTTTTTATTGCTTTTCATTTTCATTTTTATTTTTGTAGATTTATGGTTACAAATGCACTTGTGTTACATGGATATATTTCATAGTGGCGAAGTCTGGCTTTTAGTGCACCCATCACCCAGAGTGTATATTGTACCCAATAGGTAATATTTCATCCCTCATCCCTTCTCTCTCTCCAACCTATTGGCATCTCCAGTGTCTATTATTCCACTCTGTATGTCCATGTTTACCCATTGTTTAGCTCCCCCTTATAGGTAAGAAGATGCAGTTTTTGACTTTCTGTTTTTGTTATCACACTTAGGATAATGGCCTCCAGTTCCATCCGTGCTGCTGTAAAGTGGAAGGAAATTTATCTCAAATAAGTTTTCTAGAGTGTCCCTACAGAACTTTGAAAGGCCAAGAGTCCCAGACCAGCCTGGGCAACATAGCGAGATCCCATTTCTAAAAAAATTTTTTTAATTAGCTAAGCATGGTGTTCACCTGTAGTCCTAGCTACTTCAGAGGCTGAGGCAGGAAGATCTCAAGGCTAAGAGTTTGAGGTTACAGTGAGCCAAGATTGTGCCACTGCATTCCAGTCTGGGAGAGAGACAGACTGTCTCTAAATTTTTTTTAAAGTAGAAACATTTTCATTTTTCCCATTATAGAGGAGACAGTGTAATCTGGAAAACTCTCATGATCCACCCTTCTTGTAGCTCTGTGTGTACAGGTAGATGAAGGGGGAACAATGCTTCCAAGGTTGTCACATGTGATGTTTGGTTCTAAATTGCTGAAACTCACAAAATGCATCCTCTTGTTTCTAATTAGATGCAGAACAGTGAACACCATGGACAAAGCATCAAGACTCAAACTGTAAGTGGGATTGCTACCTGTCAGTGTGGCGACCTTCCTGGTTTATAATGACCATTTGGGCCTGTGCTTCTATGACCTCTTTGTGGGGGGTCTTTGGGGTCTTTGTGAAGCATCAAGACACTCCCATAGTCAAGGCCAATAACCAGACTCTCAGGTGTGTCCTGCTCATTGCCCTCACCCTGTACTTCCATTGTCCCTTACCTTCATTGGTCATCCCAACACAGCCACCTGCATCCTTTGGAATATCACATTTGAGCTGGGTGCAGTGGCTCATGCCTGTAATCCCGGCACTTTGGGAGACTGAGGTGGGAGGATTGCTTGAGTCCAGGAATTAGAGACCAGTGTGGGCAATGTAGTGAGACTCCGTCTCTACAAAAAATTTAAAAAATTGACTGGATGCAGTAGCTCATGCCCGTAATCTCAGCATTTTAGGAGGTAAGGTGGGTGGATCACTTGAGGCCAGGACTTGGAAATCAACCTGGCCAACATGGTGAAACCTCATCTCTATTAAAAATATTTTTAGGCCGGGCGCGGTGGCTCAAGCCTGTAATCCCAGCACTTTGGGAGGCCGAGACGGGCGGATCACGAGGTCAGGAGATCAAGACCATCCTGGCTAACACCGTCTCTATTAAAAAATACAAAAAACTAGCCGGGCGAGGTGGCGGGCACCTGTAGTCCCAGCTACTCGGGAGGCTGAGGCAGGAGAATGGCGGGAACCCGGGAGGCGGAGCTTGCAGTGAGCTGAGATCTGGCCACTGCACTACAGCCTGGGCGACAGAGCGAGACTCTGTATCAAAAATATAAAATATAAATATATATATATAAATAAATATATATATAAATATTTTTTTTTTTTTTTTTTTAATTAGCTGGGCATGGTGGGGGGCACACCTGTAATCCCAGCTACTTGGGTGGCTGAGGCACGAGAATTGCTTGAATCTGGGAGGAGGAGGTTGCAGTGAGCTGAGATCGCGTCACTGTACTCCAGCCTGGGCAACAGAGTGAAACTCTGTTTCAAAAATAAATAAATAAATAAAGATAAAAAATTAGCTGGACATGGTGACATAGTCCCAGCTTCTTGGGAGGCTGAGGCAGGAAGATGGCTTCAACCTGAGACTGCAGTGACCTGTGATGGTGCCACTGCACTCTAGCCTGGGCAACAGAGCTAGACCCTGTCTCCAAAAGATACAGAAACCACACATTTGGAGTTATGTTTACTTGTTTGCATAGTTTGGACAAAACGATCACTGTAGTTCTGACCTTCCAGGTAACCATGCAAGAGACGGATAAGGCACTGGTTGGTATCAGGGGTACCTAATTCCATCATTGCTGTCAGTTCCCTGATCGAAGTGACTCTGTAATCCCAACACTTTGGGAGGCTGAAGTGGGAGGAATTTCATGGGGAATGACTACAGCCTTCATGCATGTAGATACATCTGAGCCTGAATATGTCATCTTCACATAAAACTACGATTTGGTTATTGACTGTTCTGTGAATCCTGGGTTCCTTGGCTCATGGGAGCTTCAGTGTGGCTTTTCTGGCCAGGAGCTTGCCTGACATTTTCAACAATCCAATCCTTAAGTTCAGCATGCTGGTATTTTTCAGTGTCTGGGTTACCGTCCTTCTTGTCTACCAAAACCCCAAACGGGGAAGGTCTCAATCCTGGCCTCCACTGATTTGCTGCTGCTTCTCTGTCTGCAGATGCTATGCTGTTCCTGTTCCTGTTCGTTCCTTTTTTTTTTTTTTTGGAGACAGGGTTCTTGCTGTGTTGTGCAGGCTGGTCTCAAGCTCCTGGCTTCAAGCAGTCCTCCTGCCTCAGCCTCCCAAAGTGCAGGGATTACAGGTGTGAGTCACCACACCTGGCCTGAGTTTTCAGTTTTTGACAGTTCTCAGTATATGTGGTGGCAAGCATTTGGACTTTAATACTGAGAAGTTCCATTATTATTATTGTTATTATTATACTGTATTACTATTACTATTATGTGCTGTCGCCCAGGCTGGAGTGCGGTGGCAAGATCACAGCTCACTGTAGACTCGACTTCACAGGCTCAAGCAATCCCCCTGCCTCAGCCTCCCTAGTAGCTGGGACTAGTAGCTAGGACTAGGACTAGGTGTGCGCCACCATGCTTGGCTAATTAAAAAATTTTTTTGTTTTTTAGTTGGGCGTGGTGGTGCACATCTGTAATCCCAGCTATTTGGGGAGGCTGAGGCAGGAAAATTGCTTGAACCCGGAAAGTGGAGGTTGCAGTGAGCCGAGATTGTGTGACTGCACTCTAGCCTGGGTGACAGAGCGAGACTCCATCTCAAAAAAAAAAAAAAAAAATTAAAAAATTTTAAATTTTAGAGACAGGATCCCCCTATGTTGCCTAGGCTGATCTTGAACTCCTGGACTCAAGTGATCCTCCCACATCAGCCTCCCAAAGTGTTGGGATTATAGGCGTGAGCTACTGCACCCAGCCAATTTCATTATTACTTATGAGCCATATGAGTTTAGATAAGACTTTGTGCTCTCCATACTTAACTTTTTTCATTTGCAGGATGGGAGGTATGATTGGGTGGGGCTAATCAAATGAAATACTAGTGATTATGAAATCACATTAGTCACCAAAGTGATATGCAAACATAAATTATTGAAATATTGAATAAAAATAGGATTTTACTTGTTCTTTAGTAAAACACAAAGCTGTTCATTGTTTTTTCTTTCCTAACATGTGCTGGAAATCTACCATATGGAAATGACACTTGTGAATGGTCATGGACTTTTTTTTTTTTTTTTTTTTTTTTTGAGACAGAGTCTGGCTCTGTCGCCCAGGCTGGAGTGCAGTGGCCGGATCTCAGCTCACTGCAAGCTCCGCCTCCCGGGTTTACGCCATTCTCCTGCCTCAGCCTCCGGAGTAGCTGGGACTACAGGCGCCCGCCACCTCGCCCGGCTAGTTTTTTGTATTTTTAGTAGAGACGGGGTTTCACCGTGTTCGCCAGGATGGTCTCGATCTCCTGACCTTGTGATCCGCCCGTCTCGGCCTCCCAAAGTGCTGGGATTACAGGCTTGAGCCACCGCGCCCGGCCGGTCATGGACTTTTAGGCCTTTGCTGATCATTAAAATAAAAATCTTCCTGGCCAGGCGTGGTGGCTCATGCCCGTAATCCCAGCACTTTGGGAGGCCAAGGTGGGTGGATCACCTGAGGTCGGGAGTTCAAGACCAGCCTGACCAACATGGAGAAACCCTGTCTTTACTAAAAATACAAAATTGGCTGGGCGTGGTGGCACATGCCTATAATCCCAGCTACTAGGGAGGCTGAGGCAGGAGAATTGCCTGAACCTGGGAGGTGGAGGTTGTGGTGAGCTGAGATCGTGCCATTGCACTCCAGCCTGGGCAACAAGAGCAAAACTCTGTCTCAAAAAAACTAAAAAAATTAAATTAAATTAAATTTAAAAAATCCTATTCGAGGGTCTCAAATACACTTTTCTTAAAGAGATAGGAAAACCATTAACAAAATATTTAAGAGAATACTTCACTTCTGGTCTACCAATAACTACTTCTCAAGCAGACACCAGCTGTGTTTGCTATATACTTCAATTTAATTGTGACAGTATCTACCTGGAGACAGAGTCCGATACCAGAAGCTAACAGCTCACAAGAATGTCCCTCACTTTAAATGTCAGTTGTAAGTCCCAGGATGTGACCTATGCTTCTGACCAACCAGCTGTAAATCAGGGTTTTCATGACCTACTCTTTGGGTTTGATCAATTTGCTATGTAGCAGCCTAAAGAACTCAAGAAACACTACTTACATTTACCCATTTATTACAAAGGATTTTTTTTTTCTTTTTTTTTTGAGACAGAGTCTCTCGCTCTGTCGCCCAGGCTGGAGTGCAGTGGCGTGATCTCGGCTCACTGCAAGCTCCACCTCCCGGGTTCACGCCATTCTCCTGCCTCAGCCTCCCAAGAAGCTGGGACTACAGTAGCCCAGTTGGGAGGATTTATTGTTTTAATAGAGCAGGGTTTCACTCTGTCTTCCAGGCTGGAGTGCAGTGGCAGGATCATGGCTCATTGCAGCCTTCAACTCTTGGGATCAAGCGATCCTCCCTCATCAGTCCTGTAAGTAGCTAGGAATACAGGCATGTGCCACTGCACTCAAGTAATTATTTATTTTTTGTAAAGTTAGGATCTCGATCTATTGTCCAGGCTAGTCTCAACCTCCAGGTCTCAAGAGATCCTCCCACCTCGCTCCTCTCAAAGCACTGAGATTATAGGAGTGAGTCACCGTGCCTAGTCTTACAAAGGATATTTTATTATGTATTTATTTACTCTTATTTTGAGGATCTCATTCTGTTGCCAGGCTGGAGTGCAGCGGCACAATCTTGGCTCACTGCAACCTCCATCTCCTGGGTTCAAATGATTCTCCTGTTTCAGCCTCCCGAGTAGCTGGAATGACAGGCATGCTCCACCAAGCCCAGCTATTTTTTTATTTTTAGTAGAGAAGGGGTTTCACCACGTTGGCCAGGCTGGTCTCGAAATCCTGACCTCAAGTGATCCATCCGCCTTGGCCTCCCAAAGTGCTGGCATTACAGGTGTGAACCACTGCGCCCAGCCTACAAAGGATATTTTATTTTATTTATTATTATTATTTTTTGAGATGGAGTTTCACTCTTGTTGCCCAGGCTGGAGTGCAATGGCGCAATCTCAGCTCAGTGCAACCTCTGCCTCCCGGGTTCAAGCGATTCTCCTGCCTCAGCCTCCCAAGTAGCTGGGATTACAGGCGCCCACCACCACGCCTGGCTAATTATTATTATTATTATTATCATTATTACTATTATTTTAAGATAGAGTCTCTTTTGCCCAGGCTGGAGTGCAGTGGTACGATCTCGACTCACTGCAGCCCCTGCCTACTGGGGTCAAGCGATTCTCCTACCTCAGCCTCCCAAGTAGCTGGATTACAGGCCCGCGCCACCATGCCCAGCTAATTTTTTTTTTTTTTTTTTGTATTTTTAGTAGAGAC